GGAACGGTCTTCCCTAGAGCCCCTTGTCCTTAATTTACCTGCTCTCTACCCTGACACTGTCCTTTGATGTCTGCAGATGTTTTTGGTGTCAGCATATTTTAAGTTTGGACCTGACACTGGATGGCACAGGCGCTAAAGAGGAATAGGATTATGATGATGATGATATTTTAAGTTTGTTTTCGGCACCTCATACTAATTATAAAAGCTTATTCGGTATGCCCGATACATAGAAACTTCTTTGTAACATGCTCCTTACCACTTTCACATTCCAACGTTTCCTTTTTTTTTTTTCGATCTAGCATTTGATCATAGCCCAATTTAACTAGAACTATCAAAATACCCATTCGCAAAATCTTATCCCCCGACATTAATTAATGACTACATAAACTAGAACGACTTTTGAAATTAGGTGAACACCAAAATTATACTAAATATTTCCATTACGACAGCCGATGAACTTGACAAAGCAGCCAACAACTTTACAGAATGCATACAAAATACAATTTGGCATTCGATTACACCAACGATGTCATTAACCAAAACTGGAGCTCTATGGCAAAGAACCAGATACCCATCACTCAAAACAACTCTTAATAAATTAACCTAAAACTTCCACAAGATCTGCCAGCATTCAAAATTAACAGATAAGCCACTACCTACATTCAATGAACAATAGAAACGGATCAATATGGAGAACAATAAGTACAACGTATACTGAAGACGAAAGATGTTCAATATCCTCTCCGACGTACAGACAATTCCTGGGCCATAACAGGCGAAGAAAAAAAAAATTAGCAAAACATCTTTCTCAGATATTTGGGATGAATAATATTGAGGACAATACAATCAATATCAAGATTGAATACGACTTGATAACACCCCCACTAGCATTTCACCCAAAAGACATTTACAAAGAAATCAAGTTTTGCAAACAAAAAAGCTCCGGGCTATGATTCAATCACTCCCTTCATCCTTCCCAATCTAACCCGAAAAGTCGTTTGCTTTCTAACTCACTTCTATAATGGTATATTTCACACAACTCATTTCCCTCTCCTTTGGAAACTTTCTACAATAAAAATTATTCCAAATACACCAGTAATCGTTCATCTTATCGTCCGATTCTTTCCAACCAATAATGGAAAAAAATATTTCTAATTAGGATAAAGCCAATCCTAGAAAGTCGGGAAGTTACACCAAACGCAACAGATTGTTTGATATTCAACCCGAAAGCCATTAATTCAGAAGCTTCTTTTGACAGAATCTCTGACGAGGTCATTGAACTCATCTTGGTTGAAACGTTGTTATAGTTGACATTCCCCTCACCTTCATTAGTACCAGAAGGATGATTATAGGTACAACACTCGTCCTTAGAAAACTCTAGGAGGTGAAATGCTGCGGTCGTTACTTCTTTTGATTGAGGGAACTGGTCTTTCATAGACTAATACAGGATAGGTTCGCTTGCTACGGTTGTTTCCAGTAATATTCACAAGACAAAAATAAAACAGCCGAATTTCAAACTTTTTCTTTCCCCGCTAGTCCACTGGCGTAAATGTTCTATACAAGTTTTATAAACCTGATGTGGTGCCTAGGATTTATCCTGATCACCGTACTTAACACCAAACTCACCCAGCATCAATTTCTGAAAGATGTCTAAAACATATATTGGTGTATTTTCAATAATGGACCATTGTAATCGACCAAAAAGTTCAAAAACACTATTCTCTCAAAATTTGAGGTTTTACGTTTCAGAATACGTAGATTTCGAAAATAGAATAAAAAATTGTTTGTCCATTGGCCATCCGCGCATTTTCTCCGAAACTACTGGACCGATTTATTTTTTTTTTCAAATTTGGATGTAGTAACCCGAGGATGATCCTCCTGCATCGACATTACTATCCGCCGTTTCTTTTCAAGATGGCGACCGAAAAACCTGTGTTGCTATAGACTGTAGCGCCTAAACGAATGCACCGATTTCAATGAAACTTGGCTAGTCTTCTTCTGATGGCCTTTAAATTGAGTGCAAAGAAAATAATTTGTTTTTTTGTTAACTTTAAGATATTCAACAGATAACCTGTTCCTGATGACTTTTTATAGGTGGCTAAAAGATTTTTTAAAGATGTCTTGAATTGAGTATCTAAATGACATCTTTTTCACAATGTAAATTGTATAGCATACTTGAAATAATCATATGGTCATAATCATAATCATCATATGGTCATGAAGTTCGTATTTTTTTTCCAATTGCAGATGGAATTCGAATAAAATTCATTGCCATTGTTCATTAAGAAAATGGGGAAATGAATCATTAAAAACTGACAAGTAATGCTTTATGTGCTATCTTCATCATCAACAGCATCATTCCTTTGTGGATTTAATGATTGTAGATACTGTTTCCAATAATGTGGACAAAGAATCAGATGAAAGACATTATAGAAGTTGTAAAACTGTGGTTACAAAACGTAGGTTGGACACTTGAAAGAAACGTTGAATCAAATAATATAATAGTTGCAGCTATATTCCATGTTAATATTTGGTAATTCATTGGGTACTTGTGGATTAGAAGGCCTGGACGAAATCTCCCTTGTTATCTAATGTTTCATCACTTAACCTTCCTCCTCATCTTGTCTAAGCTTTGGTTATTCCATTGTTTAATGTTGTTCCATTTCGTAAAATGTTATTAATTAATTGCTATGGATGTTATTAACCAAACTGTTTTGTTATTATTACATTTGTTTTCGTCTATTTAATATATTTAATAGTAAATGAACTATTTTGCCTACCAAAATAAATAAGGTGAAGTGAAAATAAATTGTACATATGTTGTTTATATTGTTTTGTTTTTTATGTACATATGTTGTTTGAGTGTTTTTTTTTTATTATTACATTTATTTTTGTCATTTCATATGTGTTGTAAAATTAAATTGTTTTCTGAATGTTATTATTACATTTGTTTTTGTTTACAATTTCAATAATATGAATAGGAAGATAGTAATTATGAGAAGCCTTATCAGAATTCAGGTTATAAACATTGGCAGATAGCAGTCTGACCTATCCTGCTAAGGGACAAGTACCATTCATTGATATGTCTTTAAATAAATGAATTATAGGTTATAATTGGAAAAATTCCCAATACAGCCTTGTCTCTAAAGTGCAGACATAGAATAAAAACTCACCAATGTTCGATTTGCTGTTCTCTTCTGTCCTGAAGATGTCTGTGATCATAATAATAGACAAGTTGTTCTTACTTTTTGTTTAGAAAATGATGACCTTTGCCAAAAAAAAATATTCTTAGTTCTAATAAAACGTGAAATTGCTTCAAGTAGAATAAAGGTGTCATTACAATTGATGGAAGACAATTGTTCCATAACAATGAATATATCATAAAAGATCTAGAACCAGATATTTTTTCTTAATTAGATCAATGATTATTAAATTAATTTTGAAATTGATCCATAAATTAAATTGTTGTATCCATATTATGTAAGAAAAAAAATTGTGTTTTTTCTTTATAATTTTTGTAGCACTTTAAATTCATACAAATGATACAAAAGCAAATATAATAGTCATGTTACTATTTAGGCTGTAAACCCTTGGAAGGCTAAAAAGATGGTGAATATTTGAACAACATAAAAATTACTTTTGACATTAATTTTTAATTTCTACGAATTAAAGTAAGGATAGAAAATTAAAGTAAGATTTTTTTTTTATAAACAAATTTCTTTCTTTATTCAGAAATATTACATTCTGTTACATCAAAGGATACAGTAGCACATTTATATATACAATATATATCAATAAATTAAACTGCTAAATAATGATACTAAAAGTAAATGTATACAAACCAAAAGAAACTAAACTAATAAAAATAACAGGTTAAATACACACATACTTTTATACAATAATTACAAAATTCATTCGCTGAGAATTCCCTCCCTTCCCCCACTTATGCAAAGAAAGGCAAGACTTAGGGAGATCCCTGCTCTTCTCACTCAGCCTCATTAATACCAATTAAGGACCAGTGGAGGCTCAGCAGAGGTGCTATAACTAGATATACTTGGCTTGAGTGGAGGAATTTAATCTTACAAAAACTCCAATATATACCTATTTACAAAAGGTCTCTGGGCCACTGCCACTTTAAACTTCGAGAAGGATTGTAGGAATGGGTGGGCTAAAGAAAGGGATCGTGCAAGGGGATTTGGATGATATATGAGGTTCTGATGGAATTTGAAAAAAAATTCTGGAATAAGGTCTAGGATAAATAAAAAAAGTAAATGAGATAAAAAGGATTTATACATATAAAAATAAAGTAAATAAATAAAACGCATTCACACCTTATTGGAATTGTACCAGTTACTGAATTCAGTATGTAGTTATATATTTTTTAATATATCAATGAATGCATAAGACCAAAACAAAAATGGTGTTATTTTATATAATTATAATATAAAAAAATATATAAAAAATATATAATATATATATAATAAATAATATATAAAAAAAAAACCCGTATCACTACAGCCCATGAAGGGTCTTGGGTTCAGTACTATGAGAGGAATACTGTTACAAGACCAACGGCTGTGCAGGGAAGTGATGGGACCGATATCATGCTCAACTGCCGGGTTTCCCCCTTAATTATTTTTTAAAATTAAGTGTACCCATTTTATAGAGGCTGGGTGTGCCCCAGGAGGGTCTCCTAAAACCAGGGTCGATCCACAGCTAATGAAAAATCACTAGTTATTAGCCAGACTCGAATCTTGAGCTCTGGAAGTCAGTGCGAACACACTGAACTACCCCGCTCCCTTTTAAAATACATATAAGATATAAATTATAAAGATTTTTAGAACTATAAATTTTTTTAAGAAATCTAGAAAAAAAAGTAGCGATCTGGCGCTTGAACTAGAAAATGCAGTGGCAAACAACATTCCTTGTGAAATTATTGCACTAGCCTAAGAAAGAGGAAATATCAAAGGGCTGACCCAGTATGGGGAAAGCTTCGTTTATTTAACCATAAGGAGTGGAAGTACATCTTCTATTGCTGCACTGCGGTTTCTGAAGGCAGATATTGACATTCTCAATGCTGCGGGTGCAACACCTATAGAAAAAGCTATTAAAACGAACAGCGTTCCATCTATCAAGGAACTGATATTGGCTGGTGCTAAAATTGAGAACCAGTTGTCCAGAGGAAATTCTTATCTCCATACTGCGGCTTCTTCTGGCAAGAATGATCTCAGATTCAAGAGTAATGACACATTAGTTCCTTTAATAGTTCATTCGATTAATGCAACTGAAATGCTCAAAGTACTGAAAGGTCAGAGAGTGCCATTAAACACCAAAAATGAGGATGGTTTTGCACCCTTACATATGGCTACTGATCCACCAATTATTGAGGTGCTGCTGGAGATGGGTGTGGGTGTCCCCAAGGAGGGAGGATCAGCTCTCCATATAGCTTCAACCTAAGGATATCTGAATGTCATCAAAATTCTAGCACCATGCATGAATTGACAAACAAGACAACCATGATGAAACGCGCTTAGAAAAGAAATGGGTCCTCCCAGACTACTGGCTCTCACAGATCCTCACGGGGCATGGGGGTTTCAGAGCGAAACTTTTTAAACATGGTAAAAATATCGATCCCTTATGCCCCACTTGTGGAGTACCTGAAACCGCTGAGCACATCCTTGTAGCCTGCACCAGCTATGAGGCATTGAGGGCCAAATTAATGAGGGATACAGGGCTTTACGTTCTAACAGAAAGACAATTACTCCAACTGATGTCTAAACAAAACTACCCGCAATTTAAAAGTTTTGTATGCGGGTGGAAAAAAACTGTGGGCCCAACCCCTTCTCCCTGGGTAGGCGCGAAGAAGCAGTACCTAGAAGGCCGCTGATCAGGACAGGAGAAGAAGATGGAGGACGATAAAATAAGAGACAAAATTATGAAGCAGGCTGTGTGCACAGCAATTTAAAAATGTAAAAAGATAAACTTGCAAAGGGTAGGGAAGAAAATAAAATAAAAAATAACCATGATGAAACCGCTCTGATCTTTATTGCGAAATCAAAGACAAATATTCTAGTTATGTTTTTATTGTACAGCGGTGCAGATCTAACACTCAAGAATAAAGGTCGGACAGCCCTACACTTCGCCTCTGAAGGAGTTTGCGTTGACTATGCATTAACGTTGTTGGACAGCGGAGCAAAAGTGGATGAAAGAGACACATTATGGTGACATCAGTGTGGTCTAGACCTCAGTATAGAGCGCATGATTGAAGTTTACTAGTTTTATAATCAGTGAGTGAGTTTAAAAGTTTTTAGACTTAGTTTTGTTATAGTTTTTGGCTAGAACTAACTATTAATTGTGCTGTATACATGGACAGAATTCACAGAATCCTAACTATACCGCGTCTCACATTAGAAGAAGAAAGGAAGCTATCTCAGTTTTAGACGGCTTACAGGTCCCTAAGACATATTAGTTAAGAATAGAAGTGAGGAGCGCATGCGGAGAAATAAGACTAGCTAAAGGATATTTCTCAGTGTCTCCAGTGACAGGGTTGGAGTAGCACCAATTTTTTTACCACTTCTCTTACGTGTATTTTTTTTCCCACATATTTTACACATATCAAGATGGTTCTATGCCCAATTTGCAGACAGACCGTAGTCAGAGAGGACAAAAGAACATTAGTATGTTCTATTACGACGTGTCAAGCTATCTTGCATGGTAAATGCTTAAACACAGATGAGACGGAATCTGAAGCAAGAAAAAATTAGGTATGCCTGAATGTGAAAAGGCCCAGAAAAATATCAAATACCAAGATCGGCTCCACAACAACAAACTGTCGATGCCTCGCCCCAATTACTACTTTCTGCCATTAAAGACCTTATAGAAGAGGTCAAGGGGGGATTAACATTCTCCCTCAATGCCAATACTAATTAAGTGAAAGAACTAAAAATATCCCTTGAAAAGCAAGCCTCTATCACTTTCGAGAATGCGGCGAAAGTGGATACTATAGAGTTACTACTGGAGGCTCAAAACTCTAAGATCGACGGACTGGTCCTAGAGAACACGACCGACCAAGTTATAAACTATGAATAATCCCATGCACTACATCATGCAGCAGCATACAGACGAGTTGGCATGGTAACTTTACTGTTGAAATGTGGAGTGCCCATCAATAATAAGGATAAAATTGGATGGACTGCACAACATTATGTAGAAACAAAAGAACAATATGATATTATGACTTTACTTTTAGAACGTGAAGCTAAGAGTTTAGCCAATATCGAGCACGACACCAATAATGAAAGCATCTGAAAATGGCCATTTGGATGTGGTGAAGCTTCTAATTGAACAAGCAGCAAAAGGGGAAGTTGGCGTGGTGACTTTAATTTTAGAGTGTGGAGCAGATCTAACAGTTAAGTCAGGTAATGGCAAGATGCCATTGAAGCATCTGTATATGGCCATTTAGATGTGGTGAAGCTTCTAATTAACCGAGGAGCGCCTATCAACGATAAGGAGAATGGATGGACTTCACTACATCATGTAGTAGCAAAGGGGCAAGTTGGCGTGGTGACGTTACTGTTGGAACATGGAGAAAATCAAACAGTTAAGTCAGGTAACGGAAAGACACCATTGAAGCATCTGTATATGGCCATTTAGATGTGGTGAAGCTTCTAATTGACCGAGGAGCGCCTATCAACGATAAGGATAAGAACGGATGGACTTCACTACATCATGTAGTAGCAAAGGGGCAAGTTGGCGTGGTGACTTTAATTTTAGAGCGTGGATCAGATCTAACAGTTAAGTCAGGTAACGGCAAGACGCCATTGCAGCATCTGTATATGGCCATTTAGATGTGGTGAAGCTTCTAATTGACCGAGGAGCGCCTATCAACGATAAGGATAAGAACGGATGGACTTCACTACATCATGTAGTAGCAAAGGGGCAAGTTGGCGTGGTGACTTTAATTTTAGAGCGTGGAGCAGATCTAACAGTCAGGTAACGGCAAGACACCATTGAAGCATCTGTATATGGCCATGCAGATGTGGTGAAGCTTCTAATTGACCGACGAGCGCCTATCAACGATAAGGATAAGAACGGATGGACTTCACTACATCATGTAGTAGCAAAGGGGCAAGTTGGCGTGGTGACTTTAATTTTAGAGAGTGGAGCAGATCTAACAGTCAGGTAACGGCAAGACACCATTGAAGCATCTGTATATGACCATGCAGATGTGGTGAAGCTTCTAATTGACCGACGAGCGCCTATCAACGATAAGGATAAGAACGGATGGACTTCACTACATCATGTAGTAGCAAAGGGGAGAAAGTTGGCGTGGTGACTTTAATTTTAGATCGTGGAGCAGATCTAACAGTCAGGTAACGGCAAGACACCATTGAAGCATCTGTATATGACCATGCAGTTGTGGTGAAGCTTCTAATTGACCGACGAGCGCCTATCAACGATAAGGATAAGAACGGATGGACTTCACTACATCATGTAGTAGCAAAGGGGCAAGTGGTGACTTTAATTTTAGAGCGTGGAGCAGATCTAACAGTTAAGTCAGGTAACGGCGAGATGCCCTTGATACATCTGTATATGGCCATGCAGATTTGGTGAAGCTTCTAATTGAAGAAGGAGCACCTTTGAACGATAAGACCCTATAGACCATCTGACCCAGATAGAGTAGGATAAGTCAACACCTTAATGCAAGAGCTTTGTAACTAGATTTGGGTAAGCAAATAATATAAGATTAAGTAAGATGGAAGAGAACTCATCAACAGAAGCAATTTCTAAATTGAAACTAATTTCTAATAGTTTTTGACCATAGTTTGTCAACATATTGGACCAAATAGAAAAATATTTTCATTCTAAATATGGTAGAATCTAATGAAATTCGCTATCTTCTTATAATTTAGACGGGGAGGGGGATGGTGATGCCATAGATGTATTTAATACTTTTGAGGGGGGAAAAGACACACTAGAAAAGGTTCTCAAACATCTTTAAAATTATTGTGTTCCTGGAGTAAACCTTGAAATGGAATCACTTAAATTTATTAAAACAGTTAAAAGGCCAAATTTTTGTAACAAATATCAGAGATAGGGATGTGCAACAAAATCTGCAAAGAGAAATCAAAAAACTTACACTAGATGAGGTAGTGTTAGCTTGTAAGAGTGCTGAGATGAGTCGTCTATATTCACAGCGATTAACAGTAAAAGACACTCCTGAGGTTAACTCTACCAGAGGTAAAAAAATTCTCCCAAACAATACAAACAAGCCTAAATCTGAAGAATAATTTTGTGAAAAATGTGGATTTTCATGCAAGAATATGTCATGTCCAGATTACAGCAAAAGCTCTTGGCACCTGAACCACTTATCAGTTGGCTGTAATAAAAATAAAAAGGAATTTCGGAATGATTACAAAACAAATAATAGCAAGTGTTCACGAGATAGTAAATTCCTCTGATGATACAGTATTTAATTGCGATAGTCTACAACTACACAAAGAGTGCAACAATCTTAAAACAAATAATCCTTGGACAGAAGTAATTCTGATCGAGAAACATTTCAGTCAAGTTCAAATTTAGACACTACTAGAGATACAACCATTATACCATTAAATCACTTGAAATAAATAAAAAAGAACTGTCAAATTAGTGAATCCAAAATCATATGGACTATAACCCTGGGCTGCTCCTATAAAGACCAAAGCTTAATAGGAATCTTTGATATTGTTGATATACATCAGGTGGTATGCCTCAATAGCCGATTGGTTGATTTTTTAATGGAGCAAGGCTGAATCTTTGTTTCAGGGATATTTCCTTATCACTTATCCATTACCGCAGGGAACCTTAGCCGCGGCACATGCAATTGCGATAGAGCGGATGAAGATCAGGGTAGCCACTTCACACGACCTGAGGAAGGCTGTATCCGATCTCGAGTGCTTCACAGGTGTCACCTGTTTCTCCAGGTGAGTTAAACCATTTTCTAAAAGGTGGAGATCGACTCATGGCGAGAATAAATGCACACAACGCTGGTGACGCGGAGGCCCTTAAGGCGGCTCTTGTGTGCAGGGTAAAGAGAAGTATCTTGAACCATATCCAAGCAGACGAAGAGACACCGTGGAAAACCGTCAAAGAAAGGCTGAAGAAGGCGTACGTAGGCGGCAGGTGGACCACAGAAGAAGACATTTTTCAAATGTTCCGAGAGATGAAATCTTCAAGACAGTCGAACGGACAGTATACTGGGACACTCTTGGCTCACTATAACCACATTATGGAGAATATGAGGGAAACTGCATGTGCTCCGGAAGTAGAAACCAAGATGGCCTTCTTGTTTACTATACTCAAGGTGCAACTAGCGAAAGAAACCGGAAAGAAAGAAGGTTTACCCAGGGAGAGCTTGTTTATCGAATGTGCCCAGGAGATGGTAGATTCCAGCGCCAGAGAGGAGGAAATCCAAGTAGAAACTGAAGAACCAGGGTGGAATATAGTATTCTATAAAAAGCCTAGGAGCACACCAATGGGGTGGAAAAGGTAGAAAGAAACATGTAAGAGGCGAGCGTAGACCAGGGCGAGAACCAGCCAAAGGAAAGAAGACAGGAGATGTTATGGCTGTGGGAAGAGCGGACACCTGGTGGCACAATGTCCCTGCCCGAAATGCTTTGAGTGTGGGACAGAAGGACACATTGCGAGGCAGTGTCCATATATGTACTCAAGAAGGGACTCGCAACGCGGAGAGTCGATGAAAATAAATGCTCAGAGGTTGAGGAGAAGAATTATGCAGTCAAGGAGGAGTGACTCATCAAGAGACTCTACAGAAGAATCAGCAGCAACCACTAAGACAGAGGAGGAACTGGAGGAACCAATGAGCAGGGAGAATGAGAGGAGCAAAGAAAGGCAGAGGAGCAGCGGAAGAAGCGGACGTTGTCGAGCTGAGGAGAGTGTCTGCCGTGGGGTAACCGCACGCTAGTTAATCAAAACATCAGGGGTGAAAGCTGCTGGTTGCCTATAATAGAGGTGAGAGGAGTGCGATGCTTGGTGGACACCGGGCCCAGGAGAAATGGCCCGGGAATACCAAGTAATTATAGGGTGTGATATGTTGGGGAAGATGGGCACGCGAATCACAAATGAAGGGGAAACGTGGAAAATAGAAATAGGGAAAATTAAGTATACGAGCAGAGCGATAATAAAGAAAGAAGACTGTAGAGGGCGCATAGGAGCGATATATCGAGCTGAGGATTGGAGATCATCCGTGAGGAGGGAGTTTGAAGATATTTTCAAGGAAGGGGACACATTGAGGAAGGACAGTACACGAGATTCTGCTAAAACACAAGAAGGTGAGCTATGTGAAAGAGAGGAGATACCCACAAGCTCTTCGTCAACATATCAGAGAATTGCAAAGTTTGAAAGAGCAGGGAATAATTATGGACAGCACATCACTGTATAACAGTCCACTATGGGCGGTAAAGAAGAAAAGCGCGCCAGGGGGAAAATAAGGAGAAATGTCGGGTAGTAATAGATTACTGCAAACTGAACGAAAATACATTGGATGAAAAATATCCAATCCCGAAGTTTGAGGACATCTTGGATAGGTTGAGCGGGGGGGGCAACAGTATTTAGCACTCTAGATTTAAAAGCAGGGTACCATCAAATTAGAATGCATCCAAAAGACCAGTCGAAGACAGCGTTCACATTCGAGAGTGGACAGTTCACTAGAATGCCATTTGGACTCAAGAATGCCCCTATAACGTTTCAGCGGCTGATGGATGAGTTTCTAAAGGGGATTGATGAAGCAGTGTGTCAAATCTACATGGATGACCTGTTGGTGTTCCATAAAACTGAGGCAGAACACGTGGAACATTTATGGAGTGTATTCGAGAGGGTGAGGCAATTTGGGCTGACATTGTCTAACGAGAAGTCTTTGTTGGGGCAAGACTAGATAAATTTTTTAGGTCACACAATTCCAAGTGAGGGAGTCAAACCAGATGCGCAAAAAGTGGAGGCAATTAGGAGAATAGCAATACCTCGGGATGTGAAAGGGATCAGGAGGCTGTTGGGTACTCTTAACTATTACAGACGGTTTGTGCACGAAATGGCAGAATACCTCGTGCCCCTTAACAATTTATTAAAAAAAGGCAGTAAAGTGGTAGTAACCCCAATAATGGAGGACAACATTAGAAAATGCATGGCGCGGCTACAAGAAGAACCAGTATTAGCGTTTCCCGATTTTTCAAAGTTGTTTAGCATCACAATTGATGCCAGCGAATACGCATTGGGGACCGTGCTATTTCAAGAAGGAAATGGGGAGGATCGCCCCATAGCATATGCCAGCAGGAGGCTCACGGAAGCTGAATCCAGATATAGTGCACTAGAAAGGGAACTGTTGGGAATCGTATGGGCTATTGACCATTTTAGACCCTATGTTTTTGGAAGGAAATTCCGGGTGCATACCGACCATAGACCCCTACAATGGGCAGGAGAGCTGAAAGAGTCCTAGGCCAGAGTAACACGCTGAAAGGAGTTCCTGAACCAGTATAATATGGATATTGTGTACAAACTGGGGAAAGAGAACGTGGTGGCGGATTGGCTATCAAGAGCGATAACCATAAATGCCATAGAGGAGGATGCAGGAGAATCGTCGAGAGACGTGAGACAATTCCTGAGAGAGTGGACGCCAAAGGGAGAGGGAGGACAGGCTGTAGAGGAAGATGAGGATGGAGATGAGTCCCAAGAAGAAGGGAGCCCAGCGGAAGAGAGGTCAGTGGACACGGAAAAGCTGGAGGATTATCAATGACGTTATAATCTGAGTCTGAAAGACGCTTCCAAGCTAGGGAAAACTCACCACTTGTATGTGGGGAATGGGACAATTTGGGAGAGAATGAAGAGAATATGGCGGTCTGAACGAATAGGGCTAGATAGGACGTTCATTTGTTGTAAATTAGTGGTGGAAACAGTGCGGGACGAAGAACAGTAGAGGGAGGTGACGCTTGCTTACCACCAAGGCAAAACGAACCACCGCGGAGTGCAAGAAACGTTTCAGGCATTGCGTCGTAAATATTTTTGGTGGGAAATGAGAAAAACAATAGAGGAACTCATAGGGGTGTGAGAGGTTTGCTCAAGTACAAAGTATGATAGGCACCCCCCAAGAACAATATGCACCCACAGTTGAGTGATTTGCAAGTGGACACGTTCACCTGGAGAGGATATAAGCGGTTCATGTTGATAGATCTGTTTAGCAAAGTGGCAATGGAGTACCTGGTGCAGGATCGATCAGCGGAATCGGTATTAGGAGCCCTTCAAACGTGGTTCCAGTTTTATGGAGTGCCCGACCGGATAGCGTCTGACGGGGGCAGGGAATTTGATAATATCAAGATCAGAACAGAAATGAAAAACTTAGGTGTAAAGTGGCATCTCAACACCCCAGGGCATCCCACAAGCAGGGGTGGTATAGAGAGGCTGCATAGTACTCTCAGCGACCATCTAAGAGTATACCAGGTAGAAAAAGGGCTGCAATATATATAGATATAGCAATGCGGAAGCCTGTGGCAGCATATAATCAGTCCATACATACTACAACGGGCTTCTCGTCATTTGAAATTTTATTCGGGTTACGAGGGCGGCAACAATAGAGAAGGAAAAGCGCAAAAGAGTGGCGCAAGAAAATAGAAAGTAAAGGAGAAAACAGGGGGATTAAATATCCATAGCTTATCACAAGTTAGGCTTTAATAGGAGGAAGGAGTTACGGAGATATGAGGGCCCATTCAGGGTGATAACCATTAGGGAGCACAATGTTGTTACTATTGAGAGTATCAAAGAACCGAAAAAAAGAAGTATGGTTCACATAGAGCAGTTAAAATTCCCAATTTCAGAACCAGAGCAGCCGTAGAATTGGAGTGCCCTTGTCTCCAGAATGTAGTAGACATCCCCCCTGTATTTACTCCTTTAGTTGACATTGTGTGAGGGTATAAGAAGGAATATATAATATATAGAATTGTGAGGTTGCACTGTGAATTGTACTCAATTGTGCAGTGGACAAATTGTTCTTTAAAAGTCTCATATCGATAAATAATCGATGAAGAAGGAAGAAGGTGGGAGGTACCGAAAGGACCCAGCAGGTAGCAAAAGCTGGGGAGAAGAGGAGGCATTCTAGGCCGGGACAGGTAGAAAGAAGGTTGTCAGAAGAGAGGAGAACTCACTTGAGGCAAAAGGACGGAGGCGAGAGGAAGTCATCTGGGAAAAGAGGCCTACTACATTGAAGACTAAGAATATCAAGCCTACAGTTATGACTTTTATA